TAGAGACAAGATAATCAAGAAACTAGGAGGCAAATGAATTTCATGAATCAGCCTTATTGATGTTGGCTTCATGGCAAGGGTAGCAAGCATTGGATTTTAATTCAATAGTTATTAAGCACACTGTGTGTTGTAGGAACTCTGTTGGGTATATTTGACCTGGATAAAGAAGGTCAGAGGAGATGATAGCTTCAGGAAAGATGGTATAAATATTTGAAATTTGTCATTTCCAGGTTCAGTTTTATAGTCACTGTTAATTTTTAACTTGGTCTAGGCTATGCTTTAGCAGCTTTTCTTTTTGAATTATTTATTTAATTTATGATTATTATTTTAATTTGCTATAGGCATGCATGCTTACCAGAGAAGGACAACAAAGAGAGAGACAAACTGAGAAAGCAAACTGCCAAGTCTAGGACTCAAACCATGGCCAGCAATGTGGAAGCCTATTGCCTTGACCACTATGGGATTCTCACATGGTTGACCATGGTTCGGGGCTTGAAACTCACACTGGGCTTGTGTGTGTGTGCGTGCCCCAAACATGAGAATGAAAAAAAAAAGAAAAAGGGACCAAGGTATGGCTGTTCTCCTGGGGACTGATTTCTCACTTTCTGTCTCTCTGGCTAGTTCATGCACCCTACAACAAATCTCTCAAAAAAAAAAAAAAAAAAGAGATAGAGAAAGAAAAGAAAAGAAAGAATCCTTTCAGATTCTTTTCCTTCCTTTTTCATCTGTGTTCTGGGTCCTTTACTATGCATGGAGGCTAATGGGTAACCCATAGCTCCTAGGCCCTTAGCCTGGCCTCTGATGCATATGAGGTTAGGAACACAGGTCTGTCATCCATTCTCAGTCTGTAATCCCCACTTTGTGCAAGAACACATTGATCAGTAACATGGTTTACTATGTCAACAGAAGGGCTTCATACCATGTTTATGTCACTGGTCACCACTTCCATATTCCTTTAAATTTATTTCTTCTGCCATCATATAGTGAAATGGAAAGCAAACTTAAATTAAATGATATCCCAGTCTCAGTAATACCAATTTACATTTGTGTCTTTTGTATGGCTATGATCTTTTAAAATAATTTCTATAATTTTAGTTTTTGTTAAGTAGAGGCAACTTTAGACATTCCTACTTTGTGATAGTATAAAGACACTTAAAATAACTAGAATGGAGCACACTTTTCAAGTGCTGCTCTTTACTATACTGATTCATTACAGCCCTATTTTTCTCAAAAGTATTTTTTTTTAATTGCTAGAGAACATGAATGCTCATCAGAGAGAGAGGGAGAGAGAGAGACAGCACCAACCAATGGGGCATGGTTACGCTACAATCCTCTTCCTCCATTTCTTTATTTGTGAGGATATTTTGGGCATCCATGCACACTCACCTGGCATATTTTTCAAGCTATAGGGGCCAGGACTCAAACCTTGGTTGACTGTGTGGGATACTTAATTACCACACTACAGGGCTGGCCATTGGCAATTAAAGTTTCTTCTATTAATTTGCTGTAGGGTGTGAGCTTGCTGGAGAGATACAGACAGAGAGAGGAAGAGGCAAAGTGAGGAAGCACTCCTTATGGGGGATGGCTGTGCTGCTGCAATCCCTTCTCCTTCATTCTCCTTTTGGGATATTGGGACGTACAGACACATGGCCAATGTGCTTGCCAACCACTTTTTAGCCGTGGTATTTTGGACTCACTGCCTCATGTCTCTGAATTTCAGTTTTATGTGTAAGATGGGGACAGTAACATCTACCTTACATATGTGTTGTAAAGATTAAGTGATATATGTAGAATGACTAATGCCGTGGTGGCAGGTCCTTGGTGCTAAATGAAAAACAACAACAACAACAAAAGATGTGTTACTATTTTATTCTAAGAATGCTTGGGAACTTGGTATTAGTTTGAATACTTCCTATTTAAAAAGTAAGTAAAAACTCTTAGATCTTTTAAGCAATGTACCTGAAGCTTCCTAAAGTCAGGAACCATCCAGCATCACATGCTCCATATCCACACTCTTAATGCCCTCTTACTACACCTCCTTGAAGCCCTAGTTTCTCCAGCCGCTTTGGCAACAGCTGAATCTCATTTCCCTCCTTCCCATGCCCTACTTTGTAGAACTCTGTGTTGTTGTTGTTGTTTTTCTTTGAGAGATATTTGCTGTAGAGCACATGTACTCCGAAGAGACAGAGACAGACAGAAAGACAGACAGAAATCACCCCCCTGGGGAGATGGCCATGCTGCCATCCCTTCTCCTTGGCTCTCCTCTCAGAATTTTGGGCATGCACACAGATGCTCCCAGTGTGAGGCCCAGGCTGTGAACCACGGTCAGTCGTGAGGAATTCCAGTGATGTAACTGCTACACCATCTGCTGGTCCTGGAGAACTTTGTTTAATCTACAGGTTCTGCCTGAACCTACAAGGCACTTGGTAAAATCTCACATGTGCCTCAAAATATATTTTTATGTCTGCCATGAGTAAGTGAGGAAGGGAGAGAAATAAATAAAACACCCCCAACAGGCCCATGACACCGTGATCCACCTCAGTCTTCAGCCTTCAGCTAGCCCTAGCTCATGGAAGAGCAAGCCCGTGCCCTTCATACTCAGATCTACTGATCGGACACAGAGCTTTCCCATGTGGGATTGCCTCACAGAGCATTGGGTTTTCTTGTTTTGCCACTGCCTGGACCCCTGTGCCTGAATATTTTACAGTTGACCTATTAGCTCTGTCCCATTCACGGGAATGCAGAGGCTCCCAGATAAACCAAGTTTCACAAGGAAGCTCAAACTAGACATGGAAACTAAATTCTAACAGACATCCTGGGTGGACTTCTGTGTAGTCGTTTATTATGCAGCCATGCTTGAACAATAGCCGTCATTTTCAAGTGAAAGAGAAAAGTTTCTGCCTTTAGGGCTCATGACATTTTAGAGGAAGAGTGCAAACAACACCATGTGCAATGTTATTTTTGTGAATGTGATGTTAAAAATGTGCATGTGGGGACCAGCAGTTAGTGTAATGGCTATGTTGCTGGACTCCCATGTAGTCGACCACGGTTCGCGTCCTGGACCGAGTGGCTTAGAACTCACGCCGGGCGCGTGTGCGTGCGTGCCCAAGATCCTGAGAGGAGAATAGAGGAGAAGGGATTGCAGCATGACCATACCCCCTGGGGGGTGATTTCTTGCTTTCTGTCTCTCTGTCTCTCTCTGTCTTTCTGGCGAATGCACGCGCCCTATAGCAAAAACCTCTCCAAAAAAGAAAAAAGAAATGTGCATGTGAGTCAGGCATGGCACTATTCACTATGTAACACAGAGCAAAACTGGATTTAAAAATCTGAATTCCTCAGCTGTTCGTTCAGACCTCTACCCACTATATATATGCTTTCTTCTTTTGGATGCTTAGATTTTACTACAGAAAAGAGAAAAACTGTGATGGAAATGGAAAACAGAGACCAGTGGGAGAAAATAGCTGAAAGCACTTTATCTAAATATGCATGTCTGAAGTGGACAGCCAGTGAGGGTTTCAAAATGCAATGCTTACATCTGAATGTAGTTAGGACTAAAAGCAGAAGTATTGATGAGCTTTAAATCCATTAAACTCTAGAAAATTTAGAAGCACCAAGAGCTTTATATCAGTCAAATGGAAAATGCAAAATAACCTGTAACTGATGGCAATGTCTACAGCCCAGCTAGGATAGGTACAGGGTTCCCGTTGCATCTAGATATGGGATCTCTGGGCGTTCAGATTTACTCAGCTCATCCAGACTCAGTTCCCAGGTTCCTGGAACGAAGTAGGCAAGTGTGATAAAGGGGACTTGCAGAGTGGACAGCTGAAGGCGTGTGTTCACATGGCTCATGCTTTCCATGTCAGGACCAACTTCACTGCCTATTCTGCCTATTCTACTTTTTTTTTTTAGAATTATTTTATTTATTTACTTATTTATTTATTTACTTATTTATTTATTTATTTATTTATTTATTTTAATTTGACCAGAGAGGGACAGAAAAAGAGAGAAAGTGAGAAAGCAAATCACCAAGTCTGGGACACAAACTGTCGGCCATATGGGAGTCCAGTGCCCTTAACCACCACACCACCTGCTGGCCTCACCCATTCTGTTTTTAACTAGTTTCTCTCTTCTACTTTGAGCAATGTCACAGATGCATATCAGGGCCAGCCTGTGGCCTGGTAGTTAAGGCAGCTGAATCCCACATAGCTGATAGCACAATTTGAATGCCGAATCTGGGACTTGAGAGAAAATGGACAAGAGAAATGAAGGACAAGAGATTGCAACATGTTTGTGCCCCATGTCGGGGAGGGGGGTTGCTTTCTTACTCCCCTCTCTCTCTGTCTCTGGCAAGGACACACTTTTAGCAATTAAAAAAAAAAATTATACCATAAACATTTTTTTTCTTACTCTCCCAATAATGAAATTACAATTAAAGTTTGATCTTAATTATTAAGTATTGGGGCCAGCGAGTGGCATGGTGGTTAAGGCACTGGACTTCCATATGACCAATTGCAGTTTGAGTCCTGGACCCTATAGCTTGAAAATCATGTTGGGTATGTGTGCACTCATGCCCCAAATTCCAAAAGAATGGAGGAAAAGGGATTGCAGTGTGATCACCCTCCCCCCCCTTGAAAGGTGATGTCTCATTTTCCCTCTGACTCTCTCTGTCTCTTTCTTGTGAGTACACACACCCTATAACAATAACTAAAGCAAACAAGCAAAAAGAATGGTAAAGGGAAACAAAATTAAGTTAAAAAAGGAAAAAGCAGATTAGTGAAGTCCTGATTCTTGAAGCAAATCCTTGTCTTCCCATTGTTGATGCCATCTTCATTATCATTCTCTTGGTCATCTCTGGAACAGGTTATACTCAATAACCTTTACATAATTGAGGATAATATTCTTCTGAAAAAAATGATAATCATTTATGCTAGTTTGATGCTTGTGGTGAGATGTAGGCTGATTTTATTTATTGCTCCCTCCCCTGGTTTGTGTTTGTGTAGGTTCAGCCGATGATACAGAGAGGCCATGAGAGTCTGGTCCACCACATCCTGCTCTATCAGTGTAGCAGCAACTTCAATGACAGCGTCCTGGACTACGGCCACGAGTGCTACCACCCCAACATGCCTGACGCCTTCCTTACCTGCGAGACTGTGCTTTTTGCATGGGCCATTGGTGGACAGGTGGGACTAATGATTCCTGAGCAACAGCATAAGAACTGATCATGTTTCCCCTACAAATAGGAATCTGATGTTATAAGTAAAGCACTGATTTTGATATGACGCTAGTTTACTTCCATTTCATAGAAAGAGATTCTTCCCTTATGAAATTTAATTTTATCAATTATAGATTAATAGAGTTCCAGAAGGTCAAACTATGTTAGAGAATGGTTGGTTTTTGATTGGAGTACAACTCTCAGGGATTTTCACAGGATACTGTCTCATGGACTTTTCCATATTTAGGATTTTTCCTATCCGCCTCATGTTGGACTATCCCTTGGCACTCCATTAGATCCACATTATGTGCTCCTAGAAGTCCATTATGACAATCCAACATATGAGGAAGGTGAGTTCATTCTTCATGTATTTTACCTCTGATTTTTGGGCGTTTTGTAAGTCTTGTTTTTAACAAAGTTGAAACAAAATATTAGCCAATGTTAGAAAGAGTTAACCTAGACATTTATCATCCAAATTAGGATAGATTTTAGAGTGAAAGAGAGTATTATTCATAACTACTCCAGAACAGGCATTACAAAGGAAGGGCCAAGCTAGACAAATGGGCATGTGTGGCCATTAGTCTTTTGTTCTTAAAGATTTTTATAAAAGAATTATTTACTTAGTTAATTAATTCTAATTTGACCAGAGAATGAAAGAAGGAAAGTGAGAAACCAAGCGACCAGGTCTGGGACTCGCATCACGGACGGCCATGTGGGAGTCCAGTGCTTTAACCATCACGCTGACTGATGACCCATGGACACTAATCTTTAAAAAATCATTTGCATACCACCTACTAGGAGGTACAATAGTAAATCATTTTTCATTTTGATAATAAATTAGTCCCAGATACATGGTGCTTATGGAATATTTTCTTTCCATTTGCATGTCTGACAAAGCTACCAGTCAGGATAAGCTGGTGATGTGGTAGTGAAGGTGGCTGAATCCCACATCACTTACTACATGGTTTAAGTCCTGGACCCACCAGCTTGAAAAATATACAGGGTGCATATGTGCATGTGCTCAAAAATCCCAAAAGGAAGGAAATGGAGGAGAAGGGATTGCAGTGTGTTCATACCTGATGGGGGAGTGCTTTCTTGCTTTCTCTCTCTCTCTCTCTCTCTCTCTCTCTCTTTTTCTCTCTCTCTGGCATCTGGCAGGCAAACTGAAAACAAAAAGAAAAAGAAAAGAAAAAAAGAAAAAGTAGCTACCACTCACACCACTCATCACACTAACAAATATTAAACATTTTATGATGGCCACATCATAAATACACTCAAGAAATCTATATGCAATGGCATGTGTAATACCAGGGTGAAAAAGTGCAAGGATATACATTTAACTTCTAAATTAACTTGCATAATAGTCTAAAACAAAATATTGATAGAGTCACTATGAAATTGTCAACAGACTATAAATTATTATTTTACATTGATTCATGCCATTGTGCAGAAAATACTGAGTACCAACTATATCCTCAATCTGTGCTTGGTGATAAAACATGAGTGAAAAACAGACACAGTCCCCATTCTCATGAAAAGTAGAGTTTGGTGGGAAAGAGAAACAGTAAAATAATCACACCAACTAATATAAATGTGTACATATGCCAATTGATCCAAAGGAGAGGTACACAACATTTACAAGAGTATTTAATTGGTAACCTCCTCTGACCAGGTGTGGCGAAGATGGTCTAAAAAGTGTTTGTCGAGGGAATCACACAGTTTGTCAGGGTGATTAGAGGTTCAGGAGAGCTGGGGGTGGAGAAAACGAAAGATGCTAGTGAGCCTGGAGATGAAGGCACAGCCGTGCTGGCTAAGGTCTTGCAGTTCATGTTAAGGGTTTGGATCTTTACTCTAAAGGCAATAAAAAGGAATTAAAGAAAGAGTCCAATGCAGTGGAGTCAAATACGAAGTTTTCTTTTCTTTTCTTTAATGAAAGGACCATTCTGTCTTCTGTACCATGAAAAATAGACTATGAAATGGATAATGTAGTATGAAATTTAAAGAGTAATATTTCTATAAAAGTGTGAAGTTATTGTGTTCATGAGCAAACCAGTAAACTCCCCTTTTCCCCCAAAGCAATCCATATGAAATATAGCCTCTGAATTCACTTTTTTCAACCATGAATCATATCTCATACTCTGAACCATGAATCTACAGCAATTAAATTCAACTATTAACAAATTTTAAAAGTTAGAGCATGACACACCCTTTGGCGTTAAGAAGTTTTTGGGCTAGCTGCCATTTTTAAAATTAAGTTTATTTATTTCTTTCAAGGGATTGCAGTGTGTTCATACCTGATGGGGGAGTGCTTTCTTGCTTTCTCTCTCTCTCTCTCTCTCTCTCTCTCTCTCTCTGGCATCTGGCAGGCAAACTGAAAACAAAAAGAAAAAGAAAAGAAAAAAAGAAAAAGTAGCTACCACTCACACCACTCATCACACTAACAAATATTAAACATTTTATGATGGCCACATCATAAATACACTCAAGAAATCTATATGCAATGGCATGTGTAATACCAGGGTGAAAAAGTGCAAGGATATACATTTAACTTCTAAATTAACTTGCATAATAGTCTAAAACAAAATATTGATAGAGTCACTATGAAATTGTCAACAGACTATAAATTATTATTTTACATTGATTCATGCCATTGTGCAGAAAATACTGAGTACCAACTATATCCTCAATCTGTGCTTGGTGATAAAACATGAGTGAAAAACAGACACAGTCCCCATTCTCATGAAAAGTAGAGTTTGGTGGGAAAGAGAAACAGTAAAATAATCACACCAACTAATATAAATGTGTACATATGCCAATTGATCCAAAGGAGAGGTACACAACATTTACAAGAGTATTTAATTGGTAACCTCCTCTGACCAGGTGTGGCGAAGATGGTCTAAAAAGTGTTTGTCGAGGGAATCACACAGTTTGTCAGGGTGATTAGAGGTTCAGGAGAGCTGGGGGTGGAGAAAACGAAAGATGCTAGTGAGCCTGGAGATGAAGGCACAGCCGTGCTGGCTAAGGTCTTGCAGTTCATGTTAAGGGTTTGGATCTTTACTCTAAAGGCAATAAAAAGGAATTAAAGAAAGAGTCCAATGCAGTGGAGTCAAATACGAAGTTTTCTTTTCTTTTCTTTAATGAAAGGACCATTCTGTCTTCTGTACCATGAAAAATAGACTATGAAATGGATAATGTGGTATGAAATTTAAAGAGTAATATTTCTATAAAAGTGTGAAGTTATTGTGTTCATGAGCAAACCAGTAAACTCCCCTTTTCCCCCAAAGCAATCCATATGAAATATAGCCTCTGAATTCACTTTTTTCAACCATGAATCATATCTCATACTCTGAACCATGAATCTACAGCAATTAAATTCAACTATTAACAAATTTTAAAAGTTAGAGCATGACACACCCTTTGGCGTTAAGAAGTTTTTGGGCTAGCTGCCATTTTTAAAATTAAGTTTATTTATTTCTTTCATTTATGACAGAGAGACAGGGAGACAATATTCCTGACAGGGTCCTCATAATGCAAGCCCCCAGCTTCAGCCAGCCTCAGATCCTGGACACTCACATGCCAAGCATGCTCAGGGAGGCCTCCAGACACGGATCCAGAGCACTCCATGTGAGTCAACCTCACAGAGAGCCATGCTTTACAACTGCACCATCCTCTGGCCCTGGATTAGCTGCCATTTACATTTGTGCCAAACACTACTCTAAGCACTTTGTGTATGAGTCTTATATCAACCTTCTGAGGCGACAGAGCTACAATTATGATAATTTTCCATACTGGGAAACTGAAGCACAGAGAATTCGGTAACTTGCTGTCTTAGCCTGTCCTGCCACGAGAGAATACTACGTACTGGGTAATTTACAAAGAACAGAAATTTATTTTTTATAGTTCTGGAGATTGGGAATTTTAAGATCAAGGTATTGGCATCTGGTAAGGGACTTATTATGTCTGAACATGGTGGAAAGTGTCATCTAGTGCAAGGGAAGAGAGAGAAAGAGAGGAAGGGGGCAAAACCATTTCTGTGATAACATAAATCCATTTATGAAGGAAGAACTCTCATACATTAAACGCTTCTTAAAGGTCTCACCTCCCGGTACTGTGGCAAGGATAATTAAATTTAAATGTGAGTTTTGAGGCCAGCAGGTGGTGTGGTGGCCAGCAAGTGGTTAAGGTGCTGGACATTCCCACATGGCCAACCTTTCACTTTCCTTCTCTCTCTCTGTCTCTTACTAGTCAAAATGCTTTTAAAAATGAATGAATGAAGTTAAATAAATAATTCTTTAAAAAATTTCAATGTGAGTTTTGAAGGAGACAAATGTTCAAACCACATTGTTTGCTTAAGGTCACAAAATCTGTAAGCAGAAGAACTGGGATTTCAAGCTCCAGAGCCAGTGTGGGTTTTTTGGAGAGGTTTTTGCTATAGGGAGTGTGTGCTCACCAGAAAGACAGAGAGAGAGAGAGAGAGAGAGAGAGAGAGAGAGAGTATGAGTGAGAGAGAGAAAGCAAGATGGCCACACCGCAATCCCTTCTCTATTCTCTCAGGATCTTGGGCATGCACACACACACGCCCGGTGTGAGTTTAAGTCATCGGGTCCGGGACTCAAACCATTGTCGACTACATGGGAGTTCAGCGACATAGCCATTACGCTAACTGCTGGTCCCCCCAGAGTCAGTGTTTTTAGTAGTTATATCACATTTCCTGTGGTAACCCTGAACAAATAAACAAGCTCTAGTTGAAACCAGCAGATGGTATGATGGTTACATTGCTGGACTCCACGTAGATGACCACAGTTAGAGTCCTGGACCTGGTGGTTTAAAACTCATGCTTTGCACATGTGCGTGCATGCCCAAAATCTTGAGAGGAGAATGGAGGAGAAGGGATTGCAGCATGGCCATCTCCCCTGGGGGGTGATTTCTCACTTTCTGTCTTTCTGTCTCTCTCTCTCTCTGAGTGCATATACCCTATAGCAAAAATTTTTCTTAAAAAAAAAAAAAAAAAACAAGCTCGAGTCAACAAACACTAAATTACTGTATATTAATAATAGCAAATTTACTAAGCAGGAAAAGCACTTCAAAGATAAGGATTTTCTGGAATAATTATTGGGATATTTAATTTTAACAATATATTGTGCCCTACACCATTCAAATTAGTGGTTTTCAAAAGTGTGTATTTAAGTGTATGTGTTAGTAGTTTGTGTAAGTATGTGTGGGACAAGTGTATAATGAAAAATGAAGATCATTTGGTATAAAAATGTTAGTGTTTAAAGAAAAATTATTATAAGTAGATTAAGTTGATTTACTTAGAGGAAAAAGTAAACTGAGGAGGAAGGCTCGGTTTGGTTGCCACAGATTTGTAAGTCATCGCTGTGGAAGGGAGTTGATGAATGCCAAAGTTCATGGGATGGATTTGAAACGAATTGGCGGTTTATATTCTTCCTTCTTACACTAACTGTGTCATAGCATGTCTTATTTACCTTTCATCCTAAGGCCTACTATATCATTTACATAACAACATTTTAGTAACTTGATTAATGACTTCATTGAATGAATAAGAGAATGATAACAAACTATAAAGATAATAATCTTTAGCAGTTGACTCCATCAGCAGATGAATTCTAGACCAAGGGATTTTTACCTGCAAATACGTATAAATGAATTTCACCTCAAAACCATATAAAACAAATTTTATTTAGAATTCTACATTCTAAAGAATGACTTTAGAATCTTCCTACTACCTTCATTTTAGATAATTGTACAGGATATCAGCGTCACGTGTCAGACATTTCTCCTTGGGAGCTATGTGAGCCCACAATGGTTAAATGTGATGACTCGTCTTTGAATTCCTTTCTGTGAATCTGAATGGTGTGTTCCATTAATCTTCACTTATATTCCTTTCCCTTGTGAGACTTTAAGGAAAATTAATGAGCCTATTTCAACTGAATGGGTAACTTTTTCGTTTAAGCATTCAAACTTTTAATTACGTGCTCTATTCCAGGCTTAATAGACAGTTCTGGACTGAGGTTATTTCATACAATGGATATAAGGAAATACGATGCCGGGGTGATCGAGGCTGGCCTCTGGGTGAGCCTCTTCCACACCATCCCTCCAGGGATGCCTGAGTTCCGGACGGAGGGTCATTGCACTCTGGAATGCCTGGAAGAGGTATGCAGTGTCTGAATCCATGAGTTGTCATCTACAGACTCATCAATGCTCTTAGAAGCCTTGGTGTAAAACATTTCATACTTGCTTATTGTTGACCCTTTATTCATCAGTGCATTGCAAACCATGACTGACGGTTTAGCAGGAACTTTGTCTTTTTGAATCTTGGGGCTATAGAATTGTAAAGTCAAAAATAACTTGCAGGGTACTTTTTCTTCCTACGCCTACCTCCTTTGTTCATATTGAACACTTTATCCTGTATAATTTGTGCCTTTGTGCAGTTTCTTGTCCTTTCTCCCCTTTGCCTTCTATTCATATTTAGTTTTCCATTGTTCCATTTTCTTTTTTTAAATTTTTTTCTTTTATCTTAGTTTTCCTTTTTTTTTTATCTTTTTCTCTGCTTTATAGATTCTCTTCCTTCTTTCATCCAGAGCAAGACTGACCAATACAAAAGTACATATTGAATAAGTAAAAGCTGTGTATAAATATTTAATAATAACTATTTCCTCTTTATAGATTTTTTTCTTGAATGAAAGTATTTCAGCATAGATCATATTATTTATGAATAATGAGATATTGTGGTTGTGGACAGTGTGGCAGAACAATGAAGTGGAAAAATTAGGCTCTTCAGAGTTATTTAAACTATGTTCAAATTGTCATTTACTAGCTGTAGGAAGGACCATGGCACTCCCTTTAATTCCACTCATCTTCTCTTATCTGGAAAAGAAAAGACTAGTGGAATACTTTTTCCTTTTTAAAGCCTGAATTTTCAGTGTACTAAATACTGAAATCTTTTTACCTGGAGTCTCTTTACATTCTAAAAGAAGGAAAAAGAAAGATAAAATTTAGGAGTGGTCTGATAGGTCCTTACTAAGCATCAGTTCCCTTCCTTTTCTCTCAGTAAGTGCTCATTTGCAAAGAGAACGCTGAACAATCCAAACTCAGAATGCTTGGCAGCTCAAGCATTCACTTAAATTGCTTCAGCTTTCCTTCTCAGATGTTCCTCCAAGTGTGTCTGAACATGAACTGTGTGAACATGCGCTTGCTGGGGCTAATGGGGTCTTCCTCGTCATCCCCTGCAGGCTCTGGAAGCAGAAGAGCCAAGTGGAATCCATGTGTTTGCTGTTCTTCTCCACGCCCACCTGGCTGGCAGAGGCATTAGGCTGCGTCATTTTCGCAAAGGGAAGGAAATGAAATTACTTGCTTACGATGATGATTTTGACTTCAATTTCCAGGAGTTTCAGTATCTAAAGGAAGAACAAACAATCTTACCAGTACGCATGTTTTTGTTCTCATTTACTGAATGTTACAGAAGTCATGACACAAATCTGCTGAGATGCTAGGTTTCTGCTAGTAGAATGAATTTCTCTGTGTATCCATACACTTAAAGCCACCCACCGTGGGTGTTGCACAACTCAGATGGAATGTGTTTGATCAATTTCCAAAACTGAAACTCATTTTTCTTATCATTCCCAGAGGCGCTTCCAGTTGTTGAATAAAAAAAAGAAAAACAACCCAAAAAACTCAGGTTCTGAGAACTAAACATTATTCTGTTTTTACTTGACTCCTTAGTTTGCAATTTTCTAGATTGTGATTCTGTTCATTGTAAAATCAGAAGTTTCTTCATGCCATATGGAAGACCTGAGATATTTTTCAAAAGTTTTCCTTTAGAAAAAATGCATATAAGAATAATTATTTCATTTGAAAAGGTATTCAGACATACTATGCTATGTGAGCTAGCTTGCAACAGCGCTAGACTTTATGGTGGAAGGATAGAAGAAAATAAATGCCAGATTATAATGAATTAACAATTCATTATTATTTTTATATTATTATTAATAACAATTATTATAGATTTTTCTCTAATTTCATATTCCATGACCATTGAGTTCAATAGTCATACATTTTCCTACACTTATTGCAATTTTTTTTTAAGGAAAAAAGGTTTTTGCCACAGGGTGGGTGTGCTTGCCAGAGAGAGACAGAGGGAAAGTTAGAAATCACACCCCCAGGGAGATACCCACACCACAGTCCCTTCTCTATTCCCCTTTGGGATTTTGGGCACACATGCACATGTGCCCGGTGTGATTTTCATGCCATTAAGTCTGGGACTCAAACTGCAGTCAGCCATGGGAATCCAATGCCTTAACCATTATGCCACTCCCTATCCCCCCCCTACCCCATTCATATTTTTCAAATCATTTTTTTTTTTTTACTATTTATGAAATAGGAATAGCAAAATCTTTTCTACATGATGCCAGAGATGTATTTTAGATAGAATGAACTGTTAGGGAGAGGCATAGTCCATTAATAGGTAAGGGGAAAAAGAAAAGTTATGGGGGAAGCAGGACCTTCTTTTTGTAATTACTACACTTTAAACCCACAGCTTTGAATCTATATTCCTTTCAAAAAAAATTTTTTTTGAGAGGTTTTCGCTATAGGGCGTGTGCGCTCGCCAGACAGAGAGAGACATAGAGACAGAAAGCGAGAAATCACCCCCCAGGGGGGATAATATTCTTAAGGGCTACACTCTCTTTTATGATGTCCTAGGGCTTCCAACCAGTGTTATCTTAGTGCTTTATAAATGATGTGCCACGAGCAGGGTTTAAGCATGCTGAGATATCACTCTCGAGGGCCATCTGAGTTGTGAGTTAGGAATATCAAATATAGGGATGAGAGCCCAGAAATGACTATCTCTGGTCCATGAATAGCTTCATCCGTTTGCCTGAGTGGGGAGCCATAACAATATTATCTATGTCATGTGTGCTATAATATTCAAAAGGCTAGAGAACGTTAGAACAATAAATCACCATTAATTTGTCTCACAGTTCTATTGTAAGGAAATAAATACATGACTACAGATTTTGTTTAAGAGTTTTTGGCCTTAAGGTATGTGTACTAACAGGAGAGAGAGAGAGACAGAGACAGTGAGAGGGAAAGTGAGAAATCACTACCCCCCCAAGAGGTGTGGCCATGCCACAATCCCTTCTCCATTATCCTTCTGGGATCTTGGACATGAACACACATGTGACCAGCATGAATTTCAAGCCACTGAGTTTGAGACTCTAACTATGGTTGGCCATGTGGGAATCCAGTGATGTAACTGCTACACCATTTGCTGGCCCCCGTGACTACATTTTTTTTTGGGGGGGAGGAGAGAGTTTTTTAATATAAGGCATGTGCGCTCACCAGAAAGACAGAGAGAGATAGACAGAATGTGAGAAATCACCCCCCCAGGGGGGATGGCCACACCACAAGCCCTTCTCCTCCATTCTCCTCTCAGGATCTTGGGCACGCACGCACACGCACCCGGCATAAGTTTAAGCCACCGGGTCTGGGACTCAAACTGCTGTCGACTACAAGGGAATCCAGCGACATAGCCGTTACACCAACTGCTGGTCCCATGACTACATATTTTTAAAGAAAATAATGTACATGAAGAGAAGATCACCATAACTAGTATCAATGACTCACAATTATTAAGGGTTTAATCTCTACTAAGGACTAAATATATATTGTTACTCTATCTCCTCATAGCAACTGGACAGAATAAAAGATATTTTTATCATTTTTTTTTTTTTAGACGTACAACTTGTGCCTCAGTTATTCAGTTCCTCCCCTGGATCATTCAGCTAGAATATTGTGTGGTCTTGCCTGAACACAGAGAGCCTTGTTTGCTTGCTTGCTTGTTATACTGAAAAACCCAGAATTAAGCACATCAAAGGTCTTCCTCTGAATCAAGTTACTTGATGCATCCATTCACATAGCAAATATTAACTATTGGCTTACAAATGTATTAGGTAAATAAAGCAGCATAAAACTTCAGTCTGAAAACTTTTACTTTTATGTTTTAGGGAGACAATCTGATTACTGAGTGTCGCTACAACACCAAAGACAGAGCCAGGATGACTTGGGTAAGAAATTTTTATAATTATTATTGAAGTGTACTTTTGGAACTGGAGGAGTAAATTTTGATTTTAGAAGAAAAAAGTAAAAACTATTACAATTTGGAGACTTCATTTGTGAAAGTCTTCACTATAAAACATCATAAAAGTTGTATCAGAGCCGTTGTAGCATTTTGTCAGACTTCAGATTAATAAGGATACTATAGTAATATTTATAGTATAATTTATTAGCATAAGCTATCCCCAGTCATTTAGTTCAAATATTTATAAAAGACCCATGGTCATAACTGACTGTCTTTTTGAGTCTGGACTCAGACAGATCCAGACTTCAAAAGGAAAAAATAAACTGAATGACCCCAAGGCCTCAGACCCACAGAGAAATCTGGTTCCAACAGAACCAAGGGAGTTCTGCCAGACATTCAAGAGAAAGATAATTCACACCTTACTTAGGTTCTCTCAGGAACAAAAAAAGATCACCTCCCACCGGTTCACTTTATGATGTTAAGATTATCTTTCTTTTTTTCAACACAGTTCAATAAAACTTTCTAAGGACAGTGTGAAAGAGGCCAAGAGCATGCCTTTTCGACAAATGGAAATAACTTTGGCAAAGTGTTAAAAAATTTTGTCAAGCCTTGCATTATATCCAAATATAATGTCAGGACCTATTTGGGTTGAGCTAAGAAATGTAAAATTGATTCAAGTTAGAAAATATATTAATGCCTTCTTCATTAAGAGACTAAATAAAAAGGGCATAAATCACTTCAATAGGTGAAAAAAATTTTCAGAAAATTTAAGTGCATGATGGTGTAAAAGATATTCAGCAAACGGGGAAGAGGAATGAATTGCCTCGTCTAGATAAACGTTAGCTGTGAACAATCTAAAGTAAACATTAAACTATATGAGTTATAAGAAGTTTTGTTTTGTTTTGTTTTGTTTTGTTTTGTTTTGTTTTTTGAGAGAGAGGGAAAAAGAGATAGAGAGAGAGATTTTTGACAGGGTCTTGCCACGTCGCAATTTTCCTGTCCTAGCCTTCCAGTTAGCCAAGACCGCAGGCATGCACCATGGAGCCCAGTCTATTTAGGCTGGGCTGGAATACAAATCGGGCCTCCCATGTGGCCTCAATCACCATACAGTGGCTTCCTCCCTTTTACACCACTACAGGTAGGCCTGTAAGTTTTCTTTAAAATCATGAAGATTACAGGATATTTGTTATCACTGTTTTGATTCAACATTGTACTGGAAAAGGGAAAAAAGAGCTATTAAGTATTAGAAAAGGAAAAGTACAGAAACAAAACATATTATTCAGATATAATTTTTTATGTGAAAACCATCTTCAAAATTAATAATATCTAAAATTAATTTTACTTTAGTATATGAGAAACTATCTCAAGAAAATACAATTTAAAATGATAAGTTATGAAGATTAGCCAGTGGCATGGTAGTTGAGGCAGCTGGATTCTGCATGGCTGACTTCAGGGTTTGAGTCCAAGATCTGGTGGCTTAAAAAACATGCCAAGCACATATGGGTGTGTGTGTATACCCAAAACCCTGAGAAGACAATAGAGGAGAAAGGGTTGTGATGTAACCATCCTCTCCAGAAGTGATTTCTCACTTCTCTCCAGATTAGCCAGTGGAATGGTAGTTGAGGCAGCTGGATTCTGCATGGCTGACTTCAGGGTTTGAGTCCAAGATCTGGTGGCTTAAAAAACATGCCAAGCACATATGGGTGTGTGTGTATACCCAAAACCCTGAGAAGACAATAGAGGAGAAAGGGTTGTGATGTAACCATCCTCTCCAGAAGTGATTTCTCACTTCTCTCTCTCTCTCTCTCCAGTGGGAACATGCATTTTATGGTAAAACCAGAAAGAAAAAATAAAAAGAAAAAAGTATAAGTTCATAAAATTAAATTATTTATATAACAATAATGTGTTCAGTCCTTATGAAAAAAATAGAAATCTGTACTTGGAGGCATTAAGGAATACCTAAGAAAACTAAGAGATACCATATTCATAGATAGAAAGACTCAGTAAAATAAAGACAATTGTTTTATTTAAATTGGTCTATAAATTTGAACTAGTTACAGTGTAAAAAAATTCAGAGATTTTTATGATTTGGGACTTTAGAATTCTAATGAAGAAATCTTCACTTGTGGTCAAAGTTTTTTTGTTTTGTTTTGTTTTTGTTTATTGTAAATATTTTACAGTTTTAGCTTTTATATGGAACAAATTGAGTCTAAAATGAACATTGAAAACAAAGGGTTAAGAATAGTCAAGACAGTGATAAAAAGAACAAGGAAACAAGCTACTAGATATGAAGACTTATTTTAAATCTGAGGTGTCTAATACAGTGAGGTTTAGGTTCAGTTAGAACAGAACAAAGTAGGAATCCCAGAAACAGACTTAGAAATCCTATGTATGAAAACTTGTCTTAAGATTTACAGCCTGGGACCAGCAGTTGGCGTAATGGCTATGTCGCTGGACTCCCACGTCGTCCACTGTGGTTCGAGTCCTGCACCCAGTGGCTTAAACTTAGGCCGGGCGCATGTGCATGCGTGCGTGCGTGCCCAAGATCCCAAGAAGAGAATGGAGGAGAAGGGATTGGGCATGGCCATTCCCCCTGGGGGGTGATTTCTCGCTTTCTGTCTCTCTGTCTCTGTCTTTCTGGCGAGCACAACCACCCTATAGCAAAAACCTCCCCCCCCCAAAAAAAAAAGGAGTTAAAAAAAGATTACAGCCTATTCAAATAAGTGGCAAAGGATGAACTTTTTTGTTTGTTTTGTTTTGTTTTGAAGAGAGATTTGTGCTATAGGGCACATGTGCTTGCCAGAGAGACAGAAAGCAAGAAACTGCCCCTCTCCCATCCCCAGGGGCATGATCATGCCACAATCCCTTCTCCATTCTCCTCTCAGGATTTTGGACATGCACGCACATGCATCCAGCATGATTTTAAGTTGTTGGGTCTGAGACTTGAACCATGGTCGACTACATGGGAGTCCAGCAACGTTATGTCATTTGTTGGTCCAGGATGAGCTTTTATATTGAAGAATGCTGGCATAATTGAATATCCATATGACAAAATAAAATTATGCTTTATCTATACAATATATAAAAATTAATTCCAGACATATTAATATTTAAATGTGAAGAGCAAAATTTTAAAATCATTTGAAGAGAAATATTTGTATATACCTTAATGACCATGAAATAGCTAAGAATTTCTTAAACCAAACATGAATACCATAAAATAAATAAAAGATTGGTGAATGTGACTACTTTAAAGTTTTTAGTTAACAAAAGATGCAATTAACAATATGAAAAGACAAGTTTTAAGTTGAAAAAATATCTTCAATACTTGTATTAATGTTATATTAGTATCCAACATATAAAATTAATTCCATAAATCAGTAACAGAAGACAAGTACACAATAGAAAAAGAGCAAAAGACAAAAATATTTTACAGAAATAAACCCCAAATAGATAATAATTATATGGGGACCAAGAGATCATAATTATGTCACTGGACTCCCATGTAGTCAACCATGGTTCAAGTCCTGGACCCAGCAGCTTAAAACTCATGCTGGGCATTTGTACTTGCATGCCTCAAATCCCGAGAGAATGGAGAAGGGATTGTGGTATGACCATCTCCCCTGGAGGGTGATTTCTTGCTTTTTGTCTCTGGTGAGTGTATGTGCCCTATAGCAAAATCTCTCTGAAAAAAAGATGAAAAATACATGAAAATATGCTCAATTTTTTATACTAGCATCATGCAAATATAACCTAGAATGATATGTTTTATATCTACCAGTTTGGCAATATTTAAAATTGCAATTCCAGTGTACTGAAACTGCAATTCTCATACACGGCAGGTAGAAATGTCAATTTGTAAAACCATTTTGGGGTAAAACATAGTATTATTCAGTAAAACTGGAAATTCATATATGCTCCACCTAGTTTCATTCCTATACAAAATTAACCTTAATTTGTTTCCCAAGAGAAATATTGTACATATGTAACAACATAAGGAACAAAACATTAGGAACAGCTTAAATACTCATCAAAAGGAGAACAAATTCATTATATATTCATATAGTAAAATAGTATATAGTTTTGAAAATTAATGAACTAAATATGCATTTTTTAACATGATTATGTCAGGGGAATGTAATGTTGATTGAAAAAAAAAGTTTGCAGCGGAATATGTAGTGTGATACTATAAAGTTCAAGAATATACAACATTAAGTAATATGTTTAGTGATCCACTTTACAATAAGCTGAATGCAAAGTGTAATGAAAACAAGGTACCAGCAGATGGCATAATGGTTACATTGCTGTACTCCTATATAGTCGACTGTGGTTCAAGTCCCGGACCTGGTGACTTAAGACTCATGCTGGGTACATGTGCATGAGTGACCTAAATCCCAAGACAAGAAAGGAGGAGAAGGGATTGTGGTGTGGCCATCTGCCTGAAGGACAATTTCTTTCTTTCTGTCTCTCTGTCTCTCCAGTGAGCACATATACCCTTCATCAAAAAAAATCTCTTTTTTTTTTTTTTGAGAGAGATTTTTACTATAGGGTGTGTGTGTGCTCTCTGGAGAGACACAAAGAGACAGAAAGCAATAAATCACCCCCTGGGGAGATGGCCATGCTACAATCCCTTCTTCTCTATTCTCCTCTCTGGATTATGGGCACACAGGCACATGAGACCAGCATGAGTTTTAAGTTGTCAGTTTAGGACTTGAACCACAGTCGATGACAAGGCAGTCCAGTGACATAATTATTATGCCATCTGGTGGTCCTGCAAAAATCTCTCTTAAAAAAAAAAAAGGTAATGAAAAGCAATAGAAAAATAAAAACATTGAGATAATGCTGTCTTTAGCTGGAATGGGAAGAAGAGAGATTGAAGCTGAATGCACAGGGTAGTCAATGTCCTGGTGTTGGTTTTATTTTTTTCTAATGCCATTATAATTTTTATTTGTAAGACATATTTTACTAAAGACATAATAAACAAGTTATTATTGTAATGGATATTTTGATAACACTGCCTTAATACATGCTTCGGGGCCATTAAAGCTAAACCTCAGCCACTGGGAATAACAGATGCTAAGATGATTGCTAACAGCCATGTTCCTTATCGGAAATTACCCTCAGGATCAGAAAATGACTCATGTAAAGTTACCCTCCTCCATACTTGGGGCAATGAGGAAACAATGACTGACTGGTGTGAAAATACGAAGGCCAGCTCTCTTCCTATAGTTTGGTACAATTATGAATGACCATCCATCTCAGGGATAACTTGAATATGATATTTACCTTAGTTGCACCTTCATTTGTATATTACTTTCTCCCTTTGGCCAATCCTGTCTTGCTTATCAAGTGCAAGACATTAAATGTTCGTAAGTAGTAAAATCATTACATATAGGCCACTATGTTGATTTATAACCGAAAACAATACTATTCAATTTTTTACCTTCCCTTCTGAGGAATGGATTTGCTGGATACAGAATAATAGGTTGACAGTTTCAACCATATACTTTTTTCCCAAAATACTTGAGTATATAATTCCAATATCTTTTTGTTACACCCATCGTTTATGATGAAATGTCAGTTGTCAATTGTATCATTGTTTGCTAGTATGTGAGTGTCATTTTTCTCTTTCTGCATTCAAGATTTTCTCTTTGTCTTTAGCTTTCGCTAGTTTGACTGTAATGTGTCTAATATGATTTTTTTTTGTATTTATCTTTGGCATGCATTGAACTTCTTGGTTCTATAAGTTAATATTTTCCACTGAATTTCAGAAGGTTTAATTTCAGTCATTCTTTCTTTGGTATTTTTCTACTGTTTTCTCTTTCCTCTTAAACTCCAATTACATTCAGGCTACACATTTAATATTATCCCGCAGATCTCTTAGGTGTTTTTACTTTTCTCTAATCTTTTTTTTTTCTGACCTTTGAATGGGTAATCTCCATTACTGAATCTTCAAGTTCACTAATTTTTTTTTCTATGATCTGAAATCTGTTAAGTGAGTTTCATGAGTTTGTATTCTTTTTTTTTTTTTTTTGGAGAGGTTTTTGGTATAGAGTGTGTGCTCACCAGAAAGACAGAGAGAGACAGAGAGAGAAAGTGAGAAATCACCCCCCATGGTGAATGGCCACCCCACAATCCTTTCTCCTCCATTCTCCTTTTGGGATCTTGGGCACACATGCACATGTGCCTAGCATGAGTTTAAGCCACCCGTTCTGGGACTCGAACCACAGTTGACCACACGGGAGTCCAGCGACATAGCCATTATGCCATTTACTGGCCCCTTGAACAGCTGTATTAAGTTTTGATACCTCTCAGGTCTATGAAAATTCATTTTTTTAAAAAATGTTTTCTATTCTCTAGTGTAATTTCTAGTTTTTTCACTCATTTTTAACATGTTTGCTTTTAAATATATTTATCTTCAACTTTTTCAATATATCTGCTTTAAGTTTTTGTTTGCTAATCTAGCATCTGTATCTTTTCAGTTTTGTTTCTGCTGACTTTGCGTGTGTGTGTGTGTGCTTTGTTCTTTTCATAGAGCACATTTGCTCATTGCAGAGAGACAGAGATAGGAAAAGTGATAAATCACCACCTCTTGGGGATAGCCATGCCACAATCCCTTTTCTTCCATTCTCTTCTTGGGACTTTGGGCGTATATGCATGTACAAGTGTCTGGCATGGTTTTCAAGCTGCAAGGTCCATGGTCAGCCATGTGGGAATCCAGCGCATTAACCTCCACACTGCCTTCTGACCCAAAGTTTTGTTTTTTTTTGTCTACTAATTTTTGGTTGAAAATTGGACTTTGTAAATGACATACTATTGTAACTATAGATTCTATTCTTCTGAGAATTTTTTATCTTATAAAAAAATTAGCAGATAATTTACTACCTGCACTCAAAATGTAAGTCTATCTCCCTGTGGTATTTAGCCATGGATACTTATACACATTATGACAAAACCAAGGAAAGACAGTTCAGTCAGGCAAAACTTCATCAAACTGATTGATTGATATCACGTTAACCAAACATTCTCATAATCCTCTGGAATGTTTATTGTGGTGAGAATTTTACATCATACCAGCAGAACTTTAAAGAGGTTAATAGATTATTCAAGAGTGGAAATTGTAAAGAGACAGAAATCATTCTATTAGCTTTTAAATATCTCACTACCTTTTAAAGGGCCAAGTTGTCATTTAAATGATTGCTTTATCAGCTTTAAGACTTATTAACTTTCAATATTAACAGGAACTTCATGACGATGTTTCTGTAAGTGTGCTTTTTTGTAACATATTAGTGCACTTGTGTGTTTTAAGTGTCACAGTTGGTGGAATATATACTTAGCTCAATAAATATTTCCATTTTCAGGGAGGACTAAGCACCAGGAATGAAATGTGTCTCTCATACCTTCTTTATTATCCGAGAGTTAATCTTACTAGATGTGCCAGTATTCCAGACATTATGGAACAACTTCAGTTCATTGGTGTTAAGGAGATTTACAGGCCAGTCACGTAAGTAGTAAATGGATTTTATGGTAGAGACAATAGGGTTCAGAGAAGGATGACCTTTATTTTCATATTAGTTTCATTACCATGTAATGGATTTTTTTTTATGTGCCATCCTACTTGATTATTTTCAGCTGTGGAGACCAGGTAAGCTTCTTGATGGCTATGTTAAGGGTCCTCCCCAAATCTCTTCTGGTTTCAATGATTTGTGGAAGAGTTAAGGAACTGCTTGGGAGGAAAAACCATGTGGACCCAGACCAGATAAAACCAGGTTGTAAGCTTCCAAGAGGCCTTTCCCAGAAGAGTCACACAGAATGCCTTTAATCCCACTAGCATGGAATTGTGACAATATAAAGGAAGTGGTGTCTGCTGGAGAAGCTCATCAGAGACTCAGTGCCCCAAGTTTGGAAGAATGTGGTGGGCTTGTGGTCACATACGTACTTTCTGCCTAGCGTGTACCAAAATTCCAGACTGCCCGAAGGAAATCAGGTGTTTGGCACAAACTGCATTGTTTTTGTGCAATCTGTCTGAGCATAGTGAGTCACTCTAACCATTTACAGAAAGTTTCATATCAGTATAGGACAATGCTTACCATTTTAAGTTCCTAGATGTCAATTAAGGGTCAGTCTTGCAAGCAAGTCTTTCTGAGAATAACAATCTCAGACATGCTATGTGAATTCTTTGTATTCAATTGTATCAAAACTACTTAAGATAAAATAATAAATAAGATAAATATTATTACTATGCCCTTGAGATTATATTCTAGAGTCAGGGAGAGGTCATAAACAAATAAATATAAATGAGAGCACGTGTGTACTTGCCAGAGAGACTACATGGGTGAGGGAGAAAGTACCCCCCAGTGGGGCAGGGTCATGTCACAATCTCTTTTCCTCCATACCTCAGGATTTGGAGCACACAAGCATACACAACAACCATGTTTTTCAAGCCACACAGAACACAATTCAAACCATGTAGTCAGCCATGTGGAATCTGACCTTCTTAACCACTAGGCCATGGGCTGGCCCTAAAATTTTAAATAGTAGTAGATGTTATGACGATAACTGAAGCAAGGAAGTATGTATGTACCTACTGCCAATGGGATGGTGAAGGCCTCTCTGGGAAGGTGGCATTTGAGCAGAGACCTGCATGAGAAGGATCCAGCTGTAGAGATAGATAAATGTATTCTACACTGGGAGAAGATGTAGTAACCCTACAATGGTTATGAATGTGCCAAGTATCAAGGACCAGTAAGAGGGTACGTGTGGCTGGAACAGAGTCAAGTGTGGTAGAGAATAAGAGAGGAGTCTGAGAGTAGGTGGGACCAGATCATGGAGGACTTTGTGGGCAACACATGCCTTTGGGCTTTAAGTGCAAAGATATACCATTGTAAGATATAAACAAAATCGGGACCAGTAGTTAGCGTAATGGCTATGTCGCTGGACTCCCACATAGGCGACCACGGTTCACGTCCCGGACCTGGTGGCTTAAACTCACGCCAGGCGCGTGTGTGTGCGTGCCCAAGATCCTGAGAGGAGAATAGAGGAGAAGGGATTGTGGCGTGGCCATCCTCCCTGGGGGATGATTTCGCGCTTTCTGTCTCTCTGTCTCTCTCTGTCTGTCTGGCGAGCACACAGGCCCTATAGTGAAAACCTCTCAAAAAAAAAAAAAAGATATAAACAAAATCAATTTAGCCAATATGTTGAAAAAGACTCTAGGAGGGCAAGATTAGAAAAAATGACACCAACTGGGAAACTACTGTGATTGTAGCTAAGAGGCAAGGGTGCTGTGGGTCAGGTTGGTGGCACTAATGAGTTGGTTACATTCAGGTTACCTTTTGAAAGTAGCACCTATAGGACTTACTGATTGTTCGAATCTCAGGAAGTTAATGAGGAAAAGGGAAGATGAAAGTTTAATGGTGATCTGCAAAAAGTGTTAAAAGAACATCTTTGAAAAAGACATTGGGATTCTGTTTTGGGTATATTAAGGTTGATGTAGATAAAGAGATTTTGTCTATTCTTAGCATCAGTGAGAAGAATTAAAATGGCTAATAAAAGTTTTGGAATTGTATAACTTGTCTTAATATAAGAAAGAATTATCTAATTGCTAGGAATTTTCAAAATGAAAAGGACTTACATAATTAGACAAAAATATATAGACAGAATTCTAAGGGAATTATTTAAGAACAGTTATTTATTTATTTATTTTTGAGAGGTTTTTCGCTATAGGGCGCTTGCGCTCACCAGACAGAGAGAGACATAGAGACAGAAAGCGAGCAATCAGCCCCCAGGGGGGATGGTCATGCCGCAATCCCTTCTCCTCCATTCTCCTCTCGGGATCTTGGGCATGCACTCCGACCGTGAGATTTAAGCCACCGGGTCCGGGATGCGAACCACGGTCGACTACGTGGGAGTCCAGCGACACAGCCATTACGCTAACTGCTGGTTCCCCAGAGTTAATTTTTTTTAAAAAAAGAAAAGCCACTTAATGAAGATGTGACTAAATGCAGCTGTTGAAAGGGACTATAAACAGAGCCTAATTTTTTTTCCCTAAATGCTACGAGGATTTTTAAATTATGAACTAAGGAACACTCCTCTTCTTTTTTCTTTCTTTTTTTTTTCTTTTTGAGAGGTTTTTGCTATAGGGCGTGTGCTCTTGCCAGAAAAACAGAGACAGAGAGACTGAAAGTGAGAAATCAGCCTCTGGAGGGGATGGCTGCACTGCAATCCCTTCTTCTCCATTCTCCTCTCGGGATCTTGGGCACACACGCACACGCACCCAACATGAATTTAAGCCACTGGGTCCGGGACACGAACCACTGTCGACTATGTGGGAGTCCAACAACATAGCCATTACGCTAACTGCTGGTCCCTGAACACTCCTCTTCTTAAATGAAATTTGTTATCTTAGATGTGTTTGACTCAGCTCCTATTCAAACAACCCAGTGACCACCAGAACAAAAGTCAGTATCTAGTAACATACAAATAACAAAAGATCTTGTGTAAATTGCTTTGTACGTTACTAAGTACTTTCACATTCATGATTTGATTTAGTTTATTTTCACACAGTTCTAATAGGTAGAGCAGCACATACAATCACGATTTTATAGATGAGGGGATAGAAACTAAGAACCCAAGACAATGTTCAGCATTACATAGGATATAATAAATAGGGTGCTAGGGTTTGTATTTTGGTCTCATATATACGTACATACACATATACATATAAATAAATAACTACATACACAAGTAATACATTAATAAAAACTAAATAACATGTAAATGTACTTCTTTTTTTTTAAATCCTCTTTTTTTTTATTTTATTTTATTGTCATCATCATAATCTTCTTTCTATTACACTAGATTACATATAACTTTACATTGACTTCCATTGTTTTTTCAAAAGGGAATGCCATGCATGTCAGTCAATACAGAGATATCAATCTCCCCACTTTATCATTCAATATCTTTTCCATGCTTTACTTCTTAAACTCTAACAATATTATTTTTAGCAATAATAAATAATCTTATTTTAAACAATTACAATTTTATTTTTAAACAATTAATATTATATTGTTCCTGACTTAGACTTAGGTATTCTTTATTTCCTTTAGACTTTTTTAATATATCAAATACAAACTGTCCCAAATCGAAGATTAGTTTGAGAGAATGCTTGAAACAAGTGAGCTTTCAAAGCTACTGTGTTTACAGGACAAATGAAATGCATTCTATGGCCCGGTTATTTTCTCGTATGCTCAGTCAGGATGAAGCCTCTCAAATGTTCTGCTCCCGTTTCCCATTGAGCTCTGCCAGGGTCCACAGCTTTATAGTCTTTCCCGGGAAATACTGCAATTGGGTTTTCATTACTTGGAAAGACAAGAGAGAATATTGCTTCCTAGCATGAACTTAGTTTTGAGATGTCATTGCCCACCCCAACACACACACACGCAATTTTATTCCATGCTTAAATTTATTCTTCAAAAATAAGAGTAAAAAAGCTCTATTTAAATCAGACTTTCAAATCTATTAATATTGGGTAACTTTACATTGACTTCCATTGCTTTTTCAAAAGGGAATGCCATGCATGTCAGTCAATACAGAGATATCAATCTCCCCACTTTATCATTCAATATCTTTTCCATGCTTTACTTCTTAAACTCTAACAATATTATTTTTAGCAATAATAAATAATCTTATTTTAAACAATTACAATTTTATTTTTAAACAATTAATATTATATTGTTCCTGACTTAGACTTAGGTATTCTTTATTTCCTTTAGACTTTTTTAATATATCAAATACAAACTGTCCCAAATCGAAGATTAGTTTGAGAGAATGCTTGAAACAAGTGAGCTTTCAAAGCTACTGTGTTTACAGGACAAATGAAATGCATTCTATGGCCCGGTTATTTTCTCGTATGCTCAGTCAGGATGAAGCCTCTCAAATGTTCTGCTCCCGTTTCCCATTGAGCTCTGCCAGGGTCCACAGCTTTATAGTCTTTCCCGGGAAATACTGCAATTGGGTTTTCATTACTTGGAAAGACAAGAGAGAATATTGCTTCCTAGCATGAACTTAGTTTTGAGATGTCATTGCCCACCCCAACACACACACACGCAATTTTATTCCATGCTTAAATTTATTCTTCAAAAATAAGAGTAAAAAAGCTCTATTTAAATCAGACTTTCAAATCTATTAATATTGGGTCATCAGGAAAGTCATGACACGTTTTTGCATAGACAAATACGCCATGACTTTCCCGATGATGATGATCTAAGAGTCCATCATCACAATGCCGGATCTGAGAGTGAAAACCGAACATGGCGCTGGATAAAAGATCAGAAAGAGAGAAAATGGTTTAGGTGTTTCTTTCTGTTTCACTTAAAAGAATATTAGTAATTTGTTTTCAGGATGTAATATTATACAGGAATATCCTATAACATATGACCTCAAATCTTCTTTTCTGTGCTCTTAATGATATGATTAAGTAAGTCCTATATTTTATTTTCAACC